AGTTATAAATAAACAAATAAATATGATTTAGTGAGTATTAAATGAACATTTCAAAACTTGAATGTTTTTAAAAAATAGTTTTGCTTATGAAGACGCTCTAACTGGAGAGAAAATTCTTTAATTATATAATAGATTCTTTTTTCTTCCATCATTTTTTTTTCCTTCTTCTTCTTCTTATTTACATACACCATAATTGATCTCTCCTCTCTCTCTCATCATCCACAAAACCAACTTTCAATCACATTGTTTTATCTCGTTGTCATGGATCAAAAATCTTTGATTATGGGTTAAGATGGTGTTCATACACCTCCACTAAATTCCCCATTGTTGTCTCCTCTCCTGGTCAAACCGAGCAGCGACTAGAGATCAAGATAGTTAACTATGTTCGAAAATCAGTATAATAGGTAACTATGTTTTCTAATAATAGTTAATTATATATGTTATTCTTTGTCGTTATACAACTATAATAGGTAACTATGAATACGGTAATAATTAACTATATATGTTTTATTTATTTATTATGGAAACTACAATATGTAACTGCGCCCTGAACATAGTTAACTATATCTGTGTAAACAAATAGCTATTAAAATAACATTTACATAGAGTCAACTATGTTTTGAAACTGTTAGAATAGACAACTATACTATGAACATAGTTAACTATGCTTTTAAATAGTTAACTATTTTCTGAAAAATAGTTAACTATATTTTAGATCGTTACAAACTAGTGTGAGGTAGCTAACTATCTTTTCAGATCAATAGAATATGTAGCTATGTTATTAAGAATCTGTAAATTCGATAATAGTCAACTATGTTATTAAATAGTTAAGTGTTACAACATAATTGCTTTTAGTTATCTTTTTCTGCTGTTTTTCTGATCCAATTCTATTTTGTTTGCAGAGCAATCCACTGTTTAGAGATAAATGACACAATTGTAGCGACAATTTTTTGAAAAATGAGAAGAATATATCTTTTAAGAATTTTTTTCATACTTACCTTAATTACATATGTAGGGGCAAAATTTTTTCTATATTTATTTTTCTCTGCTACATACCTAATTATATTTTTTTACATGTTATTTACCCGATTTCATATCCCCAAAGTGATTTTACATATGTAGATTGTTGTTAAAAATATTTTTGTTTTGTTTTTACAATAATATTTGTCATTAATTTAACATGTAAACGAATTAATAAGTGTTGGTATAACAATTTATGTGTATTAATGGACTGAAAATGTAAAAAAAAATTTTGGAGATACAATTCACGGTGGGTATAGAAATTTGTTGCCAGCGTTTTAATTACAATGAAAAATTGGATTTGTTCACTCTGAGCGAAGCCATCAAGGTTATCCTCTTGTATCTGGATTATGATATTGATATGATATGAATTATTACCTTCACAGTACGTTTTTTTCTCTATTGCTTGTCAGAATATAATCTCTTTCTTCTTCCATTACTCACCAAGAGTTTATAAAAATTGATTTAATTGACTATATCTTATAAGCATACATTTGTAGTTTCTTATAACGATTCATAGATGAAAATAAGTAAATCACCTTAACAATATGTCATCTGCACCCGACATGTCTCCCCTTTTGAATCCAGAGTTTCCTTTATCAGTTTCTTCTGCATCTCAATTACAATTGGAAAACTTATTCATAAATGTGGAAATTTGATGATTTTCATGCTTCACGGCTAAATTTGAGAGCAATGAAAATAAATAGTGTTCTTCTAACTTAATAACTTGGTAAGCAAATTAAATTCGGGAAAAAGGCACCTAAGATTGGAGAGGACTGAATCCTAAGTTTGAAAAGGCACCTAAGATTCAAAATACATATATTCTACAATGCTTCATCAATGAAATTATATGTATAGAGTTAAACGTTATTGCAGATAACAACATCAAACTCCACAAGATCTTTTTCAGTGTGCACAAATAATGACTTTTACGAAAACTCGAACATTATATTTTAAGGGGCCACATTTAGTATTTGAAAACTTGATTATAGGGAAAGGTTTGTATTAAAAAGTGTAAAACATATAGGACTGAAATGTTTAGCAATATGGTAAATTTCATAAACTGAAAGGTAAAAATACTGCCATTTTGCTATGATAGATTGTGATGGTGCGATATAGCTTCGTAAGAAACAGCAAAGTAGTAGAGATATGTTGGGTCATACTGTAAATCATGGAAGAGTTATTCCTCATTGTGACAAGCTACTTTTTAAGAGGGACTCTCAAACTCAGAAAGTTTTCTTCACCTCGATAAAGTTTGAGCATTCCTTGTTTGCCGCGTCAATGTCTTCTTGAGATGCCACGACCACTGCAAAGCCTTTATCTCAATCAGAGTTTATTCGCCTCTGCAAATTCTTTGAAGTCCTTCAAACTATGAGGTAAACAAAAAACAAAAAAAGGATGGTAATCATTAAATCCGTTTGAGAGCAAGATAAAGAATTCAGACTGGCTTTTTGGTAATATATATATTTTTTTAAAAACTCTAGAAACTCCTAACACTTTGAAAGTCAGATGAAAACATTGTCCCTATGGATTCCATTAACCGCCACAGGATAACCAGTGTCTTTACAATTTCTCATCAGCTTCAGCTACTTTCTATGCAAATAAATTATTTGTAGTTATCATGGACACATAAGAGGTTAGTTAAATGACGGATTCAAATCATATTATGCCCAAATGTGAAAAATGTAAACTAATTATAATTGGCATAATTATAAATCATAAACCAAAGAGCTTGAGTATAAATAAGTAAATCAACGAATAATAAGATAAAATCTAAAAATAATTCTATTATACGAATAACTAAAGAAAGATCATTGCAT